TGTTAACAAAAAAACTTTTTCACCAGTTTCATCGATAAATTCAAGTCAAACAGACAAAGCCTTACCTGTTAGAACCTCCAAACCGAATTTCGTCACCTTCTTTATGTATTTCAGGAACAGCTTGTTTGATTATTTGTGAAATTTCTTTGTTTGTTACGGCAGCAAAACGGGAATCCATTTTGCTCATAACTAACGTGAGTTTGGCGTCGCTTGCTCTGAGGAGCTGGAGGTGAATCAGTGAACAGCACTGGATATCCGGAGTTTGAGTAGCCAATCAGAGCATGCGTAAAACACTACCCACTGTTGTCGTATATACTAACATATAATATAAGTACAAATATGGATGGTTTATACAGAATATGGAGTTTCCTTATTAAAAATAAACTGCCTGAAATGAAATATATAGAGGATATTACACGGTGGCGCGAAGATACGAATTTTATTTTCGAGTGGCAAAACAATATTTTACTCACTCGCTGCGCTCGTTCGTAAAATATTGTTTTTGCCACGAGAAAATAAAATGCATATCTTCAAGCCGCCGTGTAATGTTCTTTTTATTATATAGACAAAAAGACGTCGATAAAATGATAGATTTTTATCCGCTAAAAAGTACTCGTGACGGCTCAAATTTACAGTGCAGCAATATAAGACATTGTTTACAATAATCTTGAGAAATACCACTGAGCTGAATAGGGCTCTACAATGACAAAATATAAGGAAAGCTTTGAAAAATGTGTAAGTAAAATTCAAAAGACGCGAGACGCCTACAAATTTCGACGGGAAATTACCGAAATTACTTCATCGATAAACTCACGTATGTGATTATGGAAAATAAACTACGCGGGTCCCGGATGTAGTTTTTATGAATTTTACGAGTGGTATATTTTCCAGTAAAACGCTCGTGTCTATATAATAAAAAGAATTATTAAGATACTATATATCGAAGAGTAAAATTCTGATTAGAAATTATGTATATTCAAATCACAACTCTAAATTATCTCTAAGAAAACTGAGAAAATTTATCTTTATTTAAATAAAACTTATGATAAAACACATAATTCGCGTCTTTAACTGCGATGATCTCCTTTGCATTTATATATTACAAGTATTTCTTCACTCCGCCTTTCCAAAACATGACATTTCTATATTCATCACTTCGTCTATATCTTTTCCGCGTATATTACGAACCAATTTAATGCACAGCTCCCAGGTGGCGTTCTAGCTCACTTGATTAGAGCTCTGCACAGCTATCGCAAAGGTCGGGGTTCGAATCTCGCTGAGCCAAGCCAGGCTTAGCTTTCTTTTCGCAACTGCGTTTTTAATTGCAATGATCGTCCATGCATTTATATTCAAAACTCATTTCACTTTCTTACTAAACAATGATAATTGTTTCTAATTGTTCTGATGCTACAGGCAGGTCATTCCATAAATACGTGATACCATTAAGAAATGAAAATTTGAAAACATGTTCAGTTTTAAAACGTGACTTTTGTATTTTTAATATCCTATAATTTAAAGGTCCATTAAACCAAAATTTTGACATTACTTATTTGAGTCCAATTTGAAATTAACCAAATAAACACAATCATGAAGTTTCAGCTCAATTGAAGCAAGCATCCTCGAGGTATTGCTGTTTTTTTGCCCCTTTTCTTCGTAGAGCGGTCGGAGATTGTACGATATAACAGAGTCAAAGTGCCCGGTATTAAGACCAATACCTCCCTTCTAAACTCGAGAGGCAAAAGACCTATAGGTTAGCTAAACTTGTAGCCGAGGATAAGAAGAAACGACTGTTTAAAAAGACGCCGTTCAAAATTGATACTGGCAAAAAAATGGACTCCTTCGATGGAGGAAATTCTTGTTTTCCCAGGCGGAGATGAGAATATTTTTTGGAACTTAAGCAACAGATGGAACTTCTTTTTTCTCATGAAAACAAATTCGCCATTATACTTCAATAACTCGAGCATACTATGAGGAAATGACAAAGTGCAACTGAATGAATCCGCCAACAACTTGAATAATCACTTCAAATAATTTTTTGGAATGTACTTTTCTGTGAAAAACGGACTTGAAAGCTCAAAATGGAATACACACACAAATGACTGGGAGAGAAGGAAAATGAAATGACGTCAGTGTGATGATCGTAGGACGTTGTTGCCAAAGGAGCTATTCTGTTTAAAGCAAAAAATAAAGTAAAGGGCACAGGATGCGCTTAAAACAAGAATTATGCAAAATACGCGGTTCCTTTTTCCAGTAAAAGCTTTTATATCAACGTGATGGATCAGTGTACTCAAGAAAATCGGCGTATCATTGTTCTTAAAAAAATGTCTCTTTCCTCCGTTTTGACTAACCTTTATCAGTTTCTGGCGAACAGTAATTTTTTGAGCTGGTAACTCCTTTTAGCAGCCTTTATCTTTTCATCCTCAAAAACGCTTCTTTTCAAAGCCGAGTTTTATTTTCTAGATTGAACTTCTAGAATATCGGAGGCAGCGGAAGACCCAAGACTGAAAAAAAGATCAAAAGGTAAGCGGCAGCATGAAAGGAATATAGTTAAAGTGGTACAGCAATGGACTGTGGTAGTTAGTTTTTGGTCGCTTTGTTAATGTTATGTCCAAAAAAATGAAAAACAAATTCAAATGTAAGTACAACACTTTCACTCAAGCAGTACCAAAAGTTACCGTCAATTTCAGTGCTCAGTGCGAAAATTTCGAACATCGAGAGGGATTTCCAACTTGTATTCGACACAAACGAAATTCAGAACTTCGCGGTAAGAGAAATCCGTAGTTTAGAGAAATAAGTTCCATCTCTTGTTTAACCGTTGAACTTGGAAGTTTCAAGTTCATTTTTCCCGCGACAAAATATTCTCATCTCCGACTGGGAAAACAGGATCAATTTCTTCAATCAAAGGGGTCCATTTTTTTGCCGGCATTAACTTTGAACGGCGGCGTTTTAAGGCATTGGCAAGGTCTAAAAAATGGTTTCAATATAATCTTTTGTCTAAGATTTGGCTTCGGTTCTGGTTGATTTTTAATTGCCTATATTTTGTGTTTGATAATGGGGATATGATAACGGGCCGGGATAAAAAAAGACTCCTGAAAACAAGTGAAGTCAAACGAAATAAAGATATTCCCTACTTCACGATATGGCATTAAGCAAAGGGAAAAGGGCATTTGCCTTATGTTCGTCTCATAAATTATTCGTTGTGTTAATCATTAATTTTTGATTATCGGAAACAGTCCAAGAAACCGACCTTATACTTGCGTCAAATTCGACATAAGCTGTATAAGTACACTGACTTGGGAAATTAGAGAAGGGTGGATTTAAAATTACGTGTTGTCCCCCAGCAAATAGCGAGCAAGGAAGTAGATTTTAAAAGACACCGTTTTCTCTTCTTTTCTTTTCTTTTTGTAAATTAACTCGTGTCATGCATTACTTGTGATAAGCATTTAGCATTAGACTGTCCCTTTTTTGCCTCAAATTTAGTGAAGGGAGTGCACGCGCGCGCGCAATCGCCTCTCCCGTCTCGTCCCTTCAGTGGCGCTCAAGATCATTTTCGTGTCTCGGGCGTTTCGCTCGACGGCCTTAAAAAAAGAGTTGCTGCCGGTAGTCTATCTGTGCAAAAGGCTTTCTATCTCTCTCTTTCTATTGTTTTGTTCTAGGCTATTATCATTATTATTATTATTATTATTATTATTTGACTATGAAAAAATTCTCCCAGCAAGCTAAAAGTCGCATTTTGTCCGGAAAAAATCACTATGCATCCCATTTGCTAAGTTATAGGTCTCTCCAATAGCAGCAATTTACAGGTTAAGATATTTAGGGTCAGTATTTTAGGCCGACTTAGGGACTATAGTGTTCCTGTCAGCTCATTATGATTTTTTTTAAAGGCGGACCCGGACGAACAGTTAGTTTTAGCCGTTACATTTACACCCCACAATATCTGATAGAAAGTTTTACTGTAAGGTGCATGTTTATTTTCTTTGAGGACAGACATAAGAAAGCAAATACTGATAATCTTTTTCGATACTTATAACTATTAATAATTCGACTTTAACCTACACAAACTGTGCGGTACGTCTTCAGGTGTTGTGTAGTGTATGTACTGCAAATTATAAACGTTACGACAACTTTAAACTTTTTTTAAAAAAAGGGCAAACTCGGGCTAGAAAAGCCGACGACTCTGTCGTTTGAAGAAAAGGGAACTCTTTCATATTTAGATAAGCTTAAGCTTTTTTCAGTAAAAATAGAAACTGTAAACAAACGCATAACTTCATTAAAGCGGTATTCAGGGCGCGAGTTATGGAAAAAGAGTAGCTCATTGCAAAATTCTTGAATGACAAGTATTAAATAAGAAAAAGAATAGCAATCCAATGGAACATGTACAAAAATAACACTTCAGTTTTAATTCAAGAAAAGCGAGTAGCCCGTCTGAACTGCAGTGTTTCTGAACTGTTTCTTGAGCTAATGTCATGAATGAACAATAGACAGATAAATTATTTCTTGAAATTTTTTATTTAGAAAGCCATTTCGCGTAACACTAACTGGATCGTGGATCCGTTCACGCAAGTAAAATCGCTTGAGAACATGTCAAAATTCAACAGAAAGTCAGCTTCAAATCGGGGCACATTTTGTAGTTTTTCTTTCACGCCTATGTCAAAATGTACAAAACGTTTATGAAACCTTTACAATTACAAAAATTTCCTTTTAAAAAAGTACTTTCCTTGATTATGAAGAGTACAGAATGTACCTGAAATTTCTTCAAAAACTTTGGTGCCTTGGTTCGCTTGGTCCAAAACAAGCCAAGCGCTCCGCCGTGAAGAAAACAAGGTGGAATTCCTCGAAGGACAATTTCGTAACGAAAAGCTTTCGTTTGTCCACAAAAACAAAACTGAATATACTCTTTTGAACTTTCCCTTTCCATTTGTGTCTTTTCCTTTAAAATGGGGCTGCGCCGCGCTCGCGGAGGCTCCTCTATTATCAACACTATCATTATTTTTCTTATTTTATTGTTTCTCGTTTTGTCGAGCTTGTCCTTCGTTTTCTTGTCCTACCTCAATTCTGACCACAGCGTTTGGTGTTCCAAATATCTTCATCTCTCTCTGTTCAGCCTCAGCAATGTTCGTAGTTTTAAAAATTAACCCAATGAACGCTACCCGAAATTCTCTTAGTCTAAATGAGTAAATAATAGGATTGAAAAAAGAGTTCAAGAGCACCATCAGTGTCGTCAAAAAAAAGCATATATACAGCACTTCTAAAGAAATTTTACTTCTAAACCTGTCTAAGATAGCACTAAAGATTGGTATCGGAAAATAACACAACATCAGTACTACAATGATGATAAATGTCACTTTGAAAGCCTTTTTATCTTTTTGAAATTGTTCCCTTGCTTCCACGGTCACTTGCTGAGCTGCAATTTGCTTTTCGTGTCGGCAGATTTCTCGGTAAACCGTAACATGGCAGAAGATTATAAAGGCAAGGCATAGACAATAGAATGTATTATTAATGGGCATAAATACAGATTCGTTCGCGGCAAAATTGATGTGAAGAATTATTGAAAGTAGCCACGCCAAGGCAGAGGCAACAAGTAGACGAGTTTCAGTTGCGAGGGTAAAGTGCGCAAAAGAATGTTTCATGGCCAGGTACCGCTCCACGCTGATCAAAACCATGTGAAAAAAAGAGGCAGAGACAACAACTCTTGACAAGGCTCTTGTGAAAACTTGCAACGCGCACGTCTCACCAGAAATATCATCAGTTAAAACTGTTACCGTCATATAGCGACATTTAGGGGCTGTACAATGACCCCGACCACGAAATCTGTCGAAGCTAGCAAGGCGAGTGCAATTTTTGACTTGTGTTCTCTCAGGCGAGGTTTCTTTTTGACGGCGATCATTACCAGCGCGTTCGAGGCAGCAGTGAGAGGAAATGTTAGAGTGTTAACGACAATGATGATAATAAGAAAAGCTTGAGTTAGTATCGAAGGTTGATGGAGTCTTCCTCCCACAACCGCGTAGACCTCACATCCGGGGGGGATGAAATCACTGCTTGGTAAACTTGAATTCATCGTGTTTCCTCTATTTCTCAGTTTCCAGCAGTGTAGGTAATACTTTCTTCTGTCCTCTCCGTGTTAAATGCCTTTTCTTAATGATTTGCTAGCTTTATAAAAGGGAACTGGCACTTTCGGACCGGATTTGTTAATTGCTTTGAATCGTGAATTCAAAGTTGTATTTTGAATTGGTTTATCCCAGATAATATTCAGTTTAAAGCGATCGTCATCTGCGCAATTCCCTGGGTAAAATAAAAAATTATCTTTATACCCCAGTTTTTAAAGAGCATGATAACTTCCCCAGCGAGCAGCGATCTGAATACTCGAGGGTTGGCCGTCGTTTTGTTAACTGCGCATTTAACTCTTACAGATAGTAACCAGTACAACTAAGAAAATAAAAATTCAGTAATTTAGGAGAAATTCGTGGTTTTCTCTCTGCCTATAACATTAGTTTTTTTTTAAATTTTTCTCAAGTGTGTTATTTGCCACACTTTTTGCTCAATACATAGTCTGAAACAGTTGTTCCCACGTTCTTGAATGCAGTCATTTTCCCTACAATGAAGGACATCCGAAATTCATTTGAAAAGGAGGAAAACTCATTTAGTTTCCTGTAGATTATATTTCCTTTTAAATTAACGGGGAAAAATAAGGTATACCTCATAAAATTTCTAATTTAGATCAAAAGTTCTTGGATGGAAATATCAAACTGAATCATTTGGAATGCACTGTACTTTAAACAAACGCCAACGAGACCATTACAGACAACACAGTGTCCACACTTGTAATATTTACTTACTTCTATTTATGGAAACAAAATATCTTCAGAGACAATTAAACATATTAAGTCTGGTAAAACTGCGAAGTTTATTGAAATTCCCTTTCAAACTCTCGTAAACTGTGAGAGAAAATTGCCAACAAAAACACGGTATGCCAGCGGGGTGACGGCAATGCGCGTGCTTGTCCGTTTCGCATGTTACGTACATTTCTTTGGAGTTTTTGGCCTTCGAATTTTTAAGAATTTAAAGCCAGTTTTAACTTGATTCAGAATGACGAATTGACTAGTGTCAAGAAATAGTTCTTTTCTATCAAAAAAAGCAAGAATTGCAATTTTAATTGCCATCGGTAACTGGTCCAATTAAACAGAGTTAATCCCTTAAGCCCAGCCACCTATATACAGTCTAGTGAAAAAGACTAGTACATTCAGCTGTTATATCTTCACTAAAGCGATTAAAAATATATTTTCTTTTTTTTCTTTTCGTGTTTAAAGTAGGATTTTCAAAGTTCTGAATATTGGAGAAATTTAGAATCACGCTTACGGCAAACAGAACGTCAGATTTATTAACAATTGTTTTCAGATTACGAAATGAGCAGCGTTTTGAATTATCCTCAAGGATAAAAAAAAGGCATGAATCTTCTTGTTCTTGTTCTTTTTATTATTAATATCATTATTATTTTTATAATTATTATTATTAATGAACATTAGACGACATAGAGTAGTCTATGCATCGAAGTGAATGATTAGAAGGTATGCATAATCATCGTTTACGGCAAAATGAACGTCAGATTTATTAACAATTTTTTCAGATTACGAAATGAGCAGGTAAAAACCGTCTAGAATTAATGTCATGAAGAAAAATGGGATAAATCTTCTTATTGTTTGGGCGTCGCCTAAATAGAGCAATCGAGAAGGCTTGTTTTGATTCAAAGTTACAATAGACACACAAAACGTAAAAATAAAACAGCAAGAATTGCAATATTAAGTGCCATCGGTAAAATGGTCCAATTACACAGAGTTAATCCCTAAATCCCAGCCACTTATTCACTCTCGTGAAAAAGACTAGTACATTCACCAGGTCTATTTTCCCTAAAGTGATTAAAAATACATTTTCTTTTTTTTTTTATTTTCGTGTCTAAAGTAGGATTTTCAAGGTTCTGAATATTGGAGAAATTTAGAACCACGTTTACGGCAAACAGAACGTCAGATTTAGTAACAATTTTTTTCAGATTACGAAATGAGCGCGTCTTTTATGGATAAAAATGGCATGAATCGTCTTATTATTTGGGCGTCGCCCAAATAGAGAAATCAAGATGGCTTGTTTTGATTCGAAGTTGCAATAGGCACACAATACGTGCGAACGTAAACAAGCCAAGCGAAGTGAATGTCAGCCGCACGATGAGTCACGACACAACATTTATCCTCGTTACAATGATACGTCCCACAGCTAACGCACAGCAAACAAATCGGCTACAGAAAAGCAAAGTATTGAAAAAAAAGGTACACCGAGTGAAATAGTTTAATTTTCCTCGCAACACACGGCGTAGATGTTTTTAGCCCGGACCATAGGTACCCCGGGTCATTGCCCTTTTTATTGTTCAGACTATTCATTGACAGCAGTGGCGTATTGCCAAGAGTTTCACAATATTATTGCCCTCAGTTGTCGAGAGCCAAAGAAGAATTCACGAAAAATTCTGTGATCGTGCACGAGGAGGATAATTAAGGGTAACATTGAATGAAACGTAATTTCATTGCAGATTTTTGGAAAGGAGGTGATTTCTTAAAATCTTATTGAGCGAAGTAATCTCGCAAACAAGTTGCAATCTTTCACGTTCGAACCCTAAAAGGGGCAGAGTCCAACATCTGCACGTGCAAACACAGGTAGCCCAAGCGCACTTTGTGTGGGTTCGGGCTTCAGAGGTCATTTGGTCGGAATATACTAGAATTATTAGTGTATTATCTTATGCTAAATAAACGCAAAAATCATAAAGAAATGAAGTCTTCTTGTTTGTCTATCTGAACTAGTAGCCTTTAAGATAACGAAGGTCGATATTTCTTGCATTATTACGAATTTTATCACATGTATTTGAATCTACAACGCTAAGAAAAAAAAAATTAGATCACGCGAAATATTGATTCAAAAAGCTCCCTTACCTTTAGTTCATAGCCACTCTGTGTCCTACGGCCGGTTTAAACGCCGTTTAGTCGACTTTCTTTCCATCGAGTACTGAACACAGTACTCGATGGAACTCTCGGGTTAATCAGATTAAGTGGTATTCTCTCATACTAACCCAAAATCGGCAAATTCTAAAGCTTTCCCTTGCAAACGGCGTGACAAAACAAGTCACAGTAAGGGCCTGATGACATGAGCCGGGCTGGCTAGCTTTGCCAAGATGACCTTTATCCTGGTGTTCATGAAAAGGGCCAGCCCGGAGCCGCCATTTTTATATAGAGATTGGAAGCAATGCGCATGAGTAGTGTGTTACCCACTGTCCTGTTTCTTGCTTGCTTCATTCTCCAGGCCACCCGGCATGTGAGATAACTTGGAAAATTTCCACCCGGGATCCCGGCATCACAATGCTGGGATCCCAGCTAACCGGGCTGACTCGGTTGTCATATAAATCGCAAAGTTGATCTATGTTGTGTTTAACTAAGATGCCGAGATCTCTGCAAGGCGAGACAGCCCCGCTCATGTAATCAGGCCCTTAGTTTTATTGCCAGATTTTACGTCCTCCCCTTTGACCTTAACGATTTTTTAAAGCCCCCGATAACACACACACACACACACACACACAAAATTTCAGCCCCACTCCCTCAACATCTTCATACCCCCTTCTCTATATTAATTAAAATGAACCTTCCTTTATCCACGTTCTCTTCATACAAATATTATCAAAAATAACCGAAAAACAATCTTAAACAGAAAGCCTAACAATGTTAAAATAAAAACAAGTATGTTTTCGACTATTGATAAGATCTTTCACAACCACTACTTCATTTCAACAGACTGTAACTACACTATCCCCAACCTTCATAACCAAATTAGCACTTCCACAGCTACCTCACTGCAACACCCAAGATCACTTTCACCCTCCAAAAAAATCAATTTTTGTTACTTTATATTAAATGCTACGAGAAACCAGTTTCATTGATTCTTACCAATCCACGTCCAATATAACCTCTCAGCCAACCCCTAAAATATACAACGCTACTGCACTACTCACACCCCCCTAATACCCATAAAAAACTTCCCACACGAGTAGTACATCCACGCCCAAATGTACGCTCCCACAGCGTCTTGTTATTTTTGTGTCTTCGCATCCGGTTTTAGGCGCGATTTTGATTGACAGTTAAATGAACACCTGGCAATGAAATATGAGTATGATTGTTCTTCAAATGTCTCTTTTCGTCCGTTTTGACTAACCTTTATCAGTTTCTGGCCAAACACTAATTTTCTGTGCTGACAATACCTTTGAGCAGCCTATACTTTCAGTTTCTTCTCAAGATCGCTTAGTTTCAAAGCCGAGTTTTATTTCCTAGATTGAACTAGAATATCGGCGGCAACGGAATACCCAAGACTGAAAAAAGATCAAAAGGTATAAGCGGCAGCATAAAAAACTTGGACTTGGTAGCTAGTCTTTCAGCTTCTTTCGTCTTTTTGCTAATATCAAATACAAAAAGGGTGAAAAACTCTTTCAAATTGAAAGGCAAACACGAAATTCTCGTTAAGAATGAAGGTGCCAAGAATGCAATACTTATATCACTTTCACAAAGGGGGAAAGGGGGTACAACAGTTAGTGCCGATTTCACTGGTGTCGGAAACTACGTTGCAAATCACGAATTGCGATGTCAAGTATATATGTAGTCAATACGCAAATTTCGATCATATCAAAAAGAATGTCCAGCTGTATTAATTATTGTAAGTAGATTTTTTTTTTAAATTTACTCATTACTGGCAGTGACTGTTTGTTTGTTGTTAAAAATTATTTCAGCTTGTCTGCACATTTGCTCGCGAAGGCGTGTTTTACTTTTCGAAACAATAATAATTCAGGGCGACAAGTTTTGAAAGTAGTTTTTTTTAGATCGAAGGGGTCCATTTCAATTTTATGTCTTTGCCCAGTTAAAGGTGACCAGAAAACGGTGGCAGCAACTTTCAACGACGTCTTATTGGCAAACGACTAGTGACCAAACGGTTAAACTGTTTTAAAACTAATCGTTTTTCGGGTTTCGGTTCGATCTGGTTAATTTTTATTAGTTTATGTTTTGTGTTGATACTTGATAATAAGAATAAAAAGGTCTCTTAAAAACAAGTAAAGTTAAACGAAATAAAGATATTCGCCTATACACTTATTTAGCTTTTTAAAAATACCTCGAACATATAATGACGGAATATCAAATAAGGAACGAAGGGAATTTGCCAATGTCAATGATTTTGCGCATATAAAGAATGCATTTGTTTTCTCGGAAAAGTGTATGGTTATGATTAATTGGTAATAGGACTTCGTGTCGTGCAATTCGATCTGTAATTATACTCATGATTAACAAATCGGACTCCCCCTACGTTGTCGTCCGATTTTGTTAATTACTTGTATGATTGCAGACCGAATTAGACTCCACGCAGCTCTATTACTAGACTACGGGTAGTCCCCCATTTTTCCTTAGGGACAGTAGAGCGAGCGAAACGCGAGCGCGCATCTATTACTAATAACAATTTAACAATTATTAATTTTTTGAGAAACCGACCGTAAAGTATGGTCAAATCACAGGGCGACCACACAAACTGTGAGACCGTTTTGATTGTTTGGATTTAGAGGAATTACTGGGGAATATAGAAAAGGTTCACATTTGTGGCGGAATATAAAGCGAACACTTCTTAAAGTATTGGGGGAGCAGGGGTGGCGCAGCGGTGAGAGCACTCGCCTCCCGCCAATGTGGCCAGGGTTCAAATCCCGGCGTCGACGCCATATGTGGGTTGAGTTTGTTGTTGGTTCTCTCCCTTATTCCGAGAGGTTTTTCTCCGGGTAGTCCGGTTTTCCCCTCTCCTCAAAAACCAACACTTCCAAATTCCAATTCGATCTGGAACGCACGGACACGTTTAAACGAGTTCATATGAACTCCTAAGTGCTTCGTGGGTAAAAAAGCCATTTTCAATTTTTTTTTTTTTATCAGAACCTAAAGCGTTCTTTTTCGTAGTAAAAGTAAAATACGTAGTTTCGTGCTTTAAAGTCAATGTGTTTTTATTTTGGCTAACCACATCACTGGATGACTCACGGTTCGTGCGTAGCCGGAGCGAGAGAATTCCATATATGGTACTTAAAGGGAAGATGGATGTTCAGAAGCAGTGAACGCGTTCTGAACGTAAATTAAACTCTTTTCAACTCCTTCTGACTTTTTGCAAGTTATGATTAGTTCTTCAAAAAAATTAAAAGCTTATGTTGGCATGATTTTACGCTATCCCAAACCGCCTTTGCTATTAATAAGAGTGATTTTCTTGTGACTTTGAGCTCTTGATGGTGAGAACGTACATTCAAAATTTCAACTGCTTATTTTCGTCGGAAGAAAAAGAAGAGAAAACACGGGTCAAAAAAGAGAACAAAAGACAGTTTTCGTTGTAAAATTTGAAAAGGGAAAGAAGAAAGGCTCGTCCATGGAAACTTGACAGCTTGCGACTTCTAGCTACTTATCTAATCTCTTACTTTGGTCTACGGTTCTGGCAATTAACAAATTTTAAAAAATAACTGGTTGGCTGATACTGGGAATATAGAAAAAATCAAATCGTCGTTATTTTTACTCCCCCAGTCACCATAGCTACACAGTTTTGGTTACAAGTATCCCTTCAATTTATTTGATTCCATAAAATATTGCCCAATGAGAATATACATACAAGGCTGTTCGCTGATTCAGAGGGGGGGGGGGGGGGGAAAAAAAAAAAAAAGAAAAAAAACATTTTTAGTATTTTTTTCTGGCCCCACAGTGGAAAAAAAAAAAAAAAAAAGTGGAAAAAAAAACCAGGTTTTTTTTAATCAATAAATTCATTCCTTATGTTTTTCCAAAACATAATAATTTTTTTTGTTTTTTTTTAACAATTATCATTATTTTAAAAAGTTTAAAACCCAGAGGAAA